CACTATGTCTGACCACTTTTCAACATCATGTGTCACACTCTCTCTGACCTTTTTTATGGTGCTTGAGTCCCCATCCCCCACGAGTATGTTAACTTGACCATGGTGTTGTGATGCAGACACTGTCACCTCTGCAGCAACATCTGGCTCCATTGCTTTGGAGGACCCTGTCCAGTTCTTTTGACCATCATGTTTTCTTGGAACACTGCCATTTCTAACTGCTGCCTTGCAAACTGTACAATGCTTTGTCCTTGTACTGTACCCTAAAACTTTGCCTGTATGAAGTCCAATGAGGGAACCAACTCCTGTGACAAATGCAAAATTTTATATGACACATGTAGCTCTTTTATGACTAATTTAACTTAAGGAAAAGTTCCAAGACTGGCATTTTTGGCCAAATTCCCTTCCCAAAAATAAAAACACAAGATAGCCAGGAAACCAGATGTGGAAAAAGAGCGAGTCTAGTAATCAGCTATGTTAATAAATTATTAAATTATGCAAATTACAGAACTACAATGGAAAGCACTGGTACTCAGAAAATTGTTCCAGGTAACACAAACTTGAATGTTTGTCAAGAATTTTTAGCTTCTGAATGTAAGAGATTTCACTAGGTAAGTAGTAGTACGGGAAGATCACATGAAAAATAAAGTCAGAAAAAACTTATGGTAGCAGTCTGATGTCAACATAAAAATGTAATCACCTGTCAGGCTAGTGTCCCTTCCCCCGTTTTTGCCAGCCCATGTCATAAGATGCTCCGATCTTTATGCTACCCAACTCTGATTCTTGTTGTCCATAGATCCAGCATCTTTTTTCAGCTTCAATGGCCTCTGCACACGACTTCTTTGCTACAGCTTCAATCACCGGGCCTACTTCTTTCTCTCTTGCATTCAATGTGTTTTGGCCAAGAGGTGATAAGTTTATCAATGTTAACAACGCATTTACGTGTGTTGGGCCAATTCCTGCATGTGGCATACCTTAACACAGATTTTAACATTGTACCATATTTTAGTTGCGATTGAAAAGAAGAATTTTAGTTTATTTCAATATGAAGAGAGCTGTTGTAGATAATCTAGTTGCCCAATTATCTCAAACAAACCTAGCATGTATCACAAAACATTGTAATTTCTAATGTACCGAATTGTATCTTCTAATTTAGTGATAAAATTGTCTAATTAGGCAGAATACAAGACACATTTAGCACAAATTTTACTCCGTCTGAATCCTGAGAGGTTTTTGAAAGTGACCCTTAATGAAAAACAATAACAAAATAAACGTACCTGAGGTAAGTTTTGTGTTGACATCAAAGATTGGTCTTCCCTCCATTTTGTAGCTGGCTCGACAAGTCTTATTTGTCAGGCAAACATTAATTTCTCCGCAGTCACAGTTTGAACATGTAATATATAAACAGTTGGACAACTGAAGTGGGTTTCAACATGTTTGGCATCCACTATAGAGAGCTTTCGCCAAAACATCTAACTGTACTACGCGTCTCCCGGTCAACAAAAAANAATAACAAAATAAACGTACCTGAGGTAAGTTTTGTGTTGACATCAAGGATTGGTCTTCCCTCCATTTTGTAGCTGGCTCGACGAGTCTTATTCGTCAGGCAAACATTAATTTCTCCGCAGTCACAGTTCGAACATGTAATATATAAACAGTTGGACAACTGAAGTGGGTTTCAACATGTTTGGCATCCACTATAGAGAGCTTTCGCCAAAACATCTAACTGTACTACGCGTCTCCCGGTCAACAAAAAACCCTTATGTCTGCCATCACTCTCCACTATTACACTAAGCTCTTCGGCATTTCGTTTGAACCAGATACATTGTTTTTCTTGCCTTTCGTTTTCTTTTCGCTGTTGAAAACAGCCTCTTTTATCCCGCGGTCTTATAGCTGCCATCTTTGAAAGATTGCATGTTTGTCAATGTTTTCAATTTAGGATGCACAGTAGAGATTGCACAGTGCAAAACAGGGGAATCACCTTAACAGCCCGGAATATCCCAATGTATTAGGACATCTGTGATGTCACGAAACTCATGTTTCAACCAATGAGAATGCGTGTTTTGGCTGGAGTGTTGTGTTTCACAACAAACCAAGAGATTCAAGATGGTGGACAAAGAGAATCGGAAATACTTTCCAATGCTACGAATGCAGGCCTTCAGGAGATATATATTTATCTCAAATTGAGTTAAATACTGTCCAAATTATAAAATAAAAGGAAAGTTTGTGTTCGCATTCCATGTCACAGACAATTCTGCCCATATAACGATTATCCTTGGACCGAAGGAAACACTACGGAACGCAATGCGGGCCATGTTTGACGAGCTGCTGTTATCATTCTTTGGAAAGAGACCGTACAATCAGTAAGCATCTTTACTCTGCATTTTTCTAAGACAGAAATGATTGATATGAGAATTGAGGCTTTCCTCTTATTTAGTGATTATCGGGCCAAAATTGACAGCATGTGCAAGTTCTTATATGCCCGCAAAGAAATTGTAAATGTCCAAAATGTTACACGTTTTGGATAAGTTGAGGAAATGAAATCATTATCAAAACAGAATTTTCAATAATGCATATGAGTGAGAAATTCTTGTTCTTTTATACAAAATAAACTAAGCTAGAAAACTGTATCAAAAATTTGTGTTGTCAGATGCAGGGATAGTCAAAAATTCTGTTAATATATTCTGTGTAAATCTGAAATTTCTCCATTTTGGTATTTATTCCAAATATTTCTTTTATCCATTTGTTACTGTGCTAAAAGATATCATGTCTGATTTCCACATTTAAATTATGAAAACTTACATATAATTCCTGACTTTCACAAGTTATTTACCCAAAAATATCAAAAT